GGATGCCTAAACAGTCAGGGATCTTGCAAGGCAAAGAGAGTGATGAATATCTCTCTTCTACGGATATGACTTTTTCTTGTTGAATCCAGCAAACGTTTCTCAAAAACTCATGTTGGAAGAGAATGCCCACACTAGCTTACATAAAATTAATAACCAGACAGGCATATAATTTTAAAAGACATGAAACAGAAGACAAAAGGGTGAAGACTGAAGGGTAATTCAGGCCTTAGTTCTTATTGCCTCATCATTCCTAAAACAGCCAACAAAAATGAAAATGGGCTGGCCAAAAGGCCTAGGTGATGTCATCATGCCAGAACTAGTTCCAAAGCTCTGAGGTTCTGAATCTTCAACCTTCTCCAAAGTTCTGAATCTCTCCTACTGCTAGGGAAAAGTGGGAGCTCCCTAGGTATGGGGCAGCTTCTCAGTGGCCTGATGAGATGGTGAAGGAAGGGAATCCTCGGTGATTTTGTCTCTGAATTCTCACACAATGTCATCCTTCACCTGAAATTTTGCAAGGCCTTGTACAGGAACACCAGAATTTCATGAAATCTAATAAATAAATATCAGCTACACTTAAAAGAATTCTTTTTATTTAATCTGGGAGTCCAACCCCTGCCATATATTCACCAATTGTTTATTTAATTAATGTAATTAATCAATAAGTTGTGGTCAGATTTAAACTGAGTGATCAGTGGCCCTCTTTTCCTCATCAGTTGCACATACACATCTTTTAACAGTACTTTTTAATTCAAGGAGTGGAATCTTCAGCCTTAATCTGAAAGAACATTGGGCCCCAGATATCAACAACTAGAGAAACATGGGTCTAAACCAACAAAAACATTTTTAAAAGCTAATTACAGAGTAATCCCCCAGCAGTCTCTTAACAAAATATTGCTCTTCCCTCTACTTGCTTATAGCTGATTATTGATTTAATTCCTAACAGTGAGCCAATTCGAGTTAAGCTATACCCTTTGCTGATTTCACCCCTTCCCTTTCTCTTTATTTGAATTTGGCTTCACAGTATGGTCAAATATAATACATAGATTTGATGAAAGCTGACAGCTAGTAAATCAAATATTATTTTGCTAGTAAATGATAGGCCAGCTCAAACTACTTTTAACTCTTTTTCCCGTGGGATGAATTATTTGGACTGGCTGGAGTTTAAATCAACAGTGTGGATACTGATTTAGTCAAATGATTATGAAGAAAGACGTGACAGCACAAATGAGAACTTTGATCATCATCTATGGCAAAGTAGATTTTTGGGAACTGGAAGTCCTTCAGAACAATTGGCTCATCTACTGAAAATGTCATAGTAGGAGGACAACTCCAGTTGGAACGACTATGGGGGAGGAGAAGGAGGCAGTAGATAAGATTCAGTCCTGCAATTCTCAGTGCACACTTGTAAGAGAAGAAGGCTCACTGAAATCAATGGAACCCTTGAGTAAACACTCTTAGAACTGTGTTCGCCAAAGGCCATGTTGGGAAGAGGATTAGTGCTGAAAATCTAACTGTGCTCCCTGGTTCCTGCAAAGATGGTTAGGCTCTATAAGGCTAAGAGCTAAGGAAGAAAGGGTCAGGCAGAATGGGAGATTTGGCCCTTCCCTGATCCTGTCCCACACCTCTGGGTTACAAGAGAGAATGAAAAATATATAGTTTCGCTATATATAGTGAAAATACAGTTTCAATATAGATTCCATTAGTACCTAAGCTCTCGAGCTGAATCATATGCCATATTTATAGCAGAGCTACCAGATCTGGGCTGCAAACATCTAGATGTCTATTTGTCAGCCCTCCAAGGTAGACCAAAGCTAATACTCTTTTTATTATAAGTTATAGTTATAAGGTTATACCTGGGGGTCCTTCTGGATTCATGACTCCTGCTCGAGGAGCAGGTGGCAGTCATGGCCAGGAGGGCCTTTGTTCAACTTCGTGTGGTGAGCCAGTTATGCCCTTTCCTGGATCAGGAGGCCCTCTGGTCAGTCATTCATGACCTGTTCATCTCTCGTTTAGACTACTGCAATGCGCTCTACATGGGGCTACCCTTGAAGAGTATCTGGAAGCTACAGCTGGTTCAAAATGCAGCCACGCAAACAATCCTTTGCTGCGGGAGCTGCATTGGGTCCCAGTTTGCTTCCAGGTCCAATTCAAGGTGTTGGTTATTACCTCTAAAGTCCTACATGGCATGGGTCCAGGTTACCTGAGGGACCATCTCACCTCCATCACATTGACCCATCCCACCCGGTCAGGCAGAGAAGGCATGTTATGGATCCCGTCAGTGAAAGAATGGCGACTGGTGGGGCCCAGGAAGAGAGCCTTCTCTGCCGTTGCCCCCGCCCTCTGGAATATTCTCTCCCCAGAGGTGTGGTGGGCCCCTACCTTCCTGGCTTTCCAGAAAGAACTGAAGACCTGGTTCTGCCAGCTTGCATGGGGCAAGAAGAGTTTTAACCACCCCTGGGGGTGGCTGGTGCCCTGATGACACTCCCCGAGCCTGATAATTTTTAGCTACCATAAATTCTTGGAAGATATTTATTATTTATTTAGGACTAATTGTTATATTGTATTTTTAATTAATATTTATCTTTTCTGTAACTGCCCAGGGTCACTTTCTAATGA